TGAAAGTGTGTTATCTCCGGGGCCGGCCCGTGGCTCACTCAGGAGAGTGCGGTGCTGATAACACCAAGGCCCCGGGTTCGGATCCCATATAGGGATGGCCGGTTTGCTCACTGGCTGAGCGTGGTGCTGACAACACCAAGTCAAGGGTTAAGATCCCCTTACCGGTCATCTTTTAAAAAATCAGAGAAAAAGAAGATGCTTTGTATAATTTCAATTTCTTTTCTTTTCTTTCTTTCTTTTTTTTTTTTTTTTTTTTTGGTGGCTGGCTGATACAGAGATCTGAACCCTTGACCTTGACATTAACTTCAATCCTTTAAAATTTATTAAGACTTGTTTTTTGTCCTAACACAAGCCTATCCTGAATAATTTTCCATGTGCATTTGGGAAGAATGTATCTTCTTCTCTTGTTGGGTAGAGTATTCTATATACATCTGTTGGGTCTATTTGTTTATAGCATTGGTGAAGTCTTCTATTTCCTTTTTGGTCTTCTGTCTGGTTGTTCTATTCATTATTGACAGTGGAGTGTTGAAGTCCCCAGCTATTATTATTGTGCAGCTGTCCACTTCTTTCTTCAGTTCTGTCATTTTTTGTTTCATGTATTCTGGGTCTCTGTTAGTAGGTGTGTATATATTTAAAATTGTTATATCTTCTTGATGGATTGGTTCTTTTATTTTTATATAATGTTCTTTTTTTGTCTTGTAACAATTTTTGTCTTAAAATCTATTTTGTCTTATATCAATATAACCCCCCTCTTTCTTTATTTCTCTCTTTCTTTCTTTGTAATTCTATCCACAGTTTTTTGAATTGCATTCAGATTAATTAAATGTTATAATGGTTAAGGAGAGAATAAATTTCTGAAAAATATCTTGGTTGTCAAAATATACTAACATTATTGGATAGTTTAAATTATTAGAAGTTAATAATATGAAGTGCCTGTCAAGGTTTCAACAATAAAAATATTCTTGTAAAGACCATCATATTTGGTGATAAATTAGACTTATACAATTGATGATTTTAAAGTAAATAAAACCTAAGTTTTAAATGCCTCCTACCCCTACTACACCCCCAGCACACATACTTTATACACCATTTTCATTTAGATCAGTGCATCTCAAATGATTCAAGGCTATAATATTTTGGAGCCAAACTTAATAAATAACCAAAATTGATCACAAAAAATCTTGGAAGAAAAGAATGTTTTAGTTAAGTGAAAGTTTAAAGTATTCCAAGTTGGCAGTGTTTCTACTTGTCTGACAGTGACCTCTTAGATACAATACAGTATAAATCAGGACGCCAAGTTCTGGTAACTTTAAAAAATGAAGTTACTATAGCTTGAGGCTCTCCTCCAGTTAATTCAAGTCCAGAAAATTCAAGCCAGTACACTGCAAAACCACTATTAAAAATCTTTAATGGTAAACTGTCCATTTAAATTGCTTGTAAACTTGCTTTAAGCTATCCCATCTCCTCCTCCTCTTTCAACAAACAAATGCTGCTTTTTATTGTCTTGTAGCTAAACAGCATGTAATACCCAGTGCCCCTCCCTTCAAAAACCAAACTAAATTGTCTCTGCAAAAAAGTTGGTTTCTTTAGCACACTCGTAGTTATATGCATCTATTTTCACAGGATTACCCTTACATGTGGTTAGCTAGCTTGAGTTCTTGTTCCTTCAGAAAAGATAAATAAGGATGAGAGCCTATCAATAGTACTTTTGCAGAGAGTTTACACATTTTCTTCAACCCAGAGATGCTTTGAAGAATGAATTTCATGTCCAACTTAAAGGAAAGCACATGGTGCTCAGGAAAACTGGTGTAATCAGATAAAAGATTTGAGTCTATACAATAAGACCGAGTACACACCACATGACAGACTTTATGATATTCAAGATAAAACTTTTTGGGATTCTGTTTGGAAATTAAGCTTGGATCAATTACTCTTCTGTGAAATACATGAATCACAGGGATATTATTGTTGTAAGGACACAGTTCTGTGTCAGCTGCAGCAAGCCCAGAACCGACAATTAACACTCAATCCACTTTGCCTTGCAACTTTCCTTTGCTTATAGTAGCTCCAAATTCAGGCATTGAATGAAACGCAAAAGGAAAATCATTCTCTTCAGTTTCCAGATGTGCAAGAGAATCCAATGTTCCAGTTGCCAGAGCTACAGTCTCAGCAAAGAGACAGAAGGGAACACGAGAACCACTCACTGACGGTTATTCACTGATAACCCAGTGACTGCTATTCACTGATCACCCATGATTTTCCAGTTTCTCTTGATAAAGTTTGACTTCTTTATCTGTAAATGCATTATTGAAATATCTCTGTCTTGCTATCATCATCATCTTGATCTCTGTAAGGTCTTGATACAGAGGTTACGTAATTATTCTCTCTGAAATTCTTCTGAAGACCCGTGACTTTTACGTAACATTTATAACAGCAAGCTATTTCCTCTGGCATAACTCCACTCCTTTTTAGGTTGCTTCATTTGCTAGACACCCAATCCTTAAATTTAAGTCCAGGTAGCTCCAACCAATTTCCAAAGCTAATTATCAACATGGACACTTCCATATTCCAAACTCAGCATCTGGATGAAGAAATGTGTCAAAAAGCACTGCAACTGGATTGGATGATCAGCCTTCAAGGCCGTTAGACAAGTATTCTAAGTCCTGATTAACCAGGGAAAGATTTCTTGCTTCTTCTAATTTACTATGTGTTGTAGATTGGATGCCTCCCCAACCTCATTGAGGTTTAATCCCCGCTGTAACTGTTGAGAGTGGGAAATCCTATCATGGTAATTGAAAGGTGGGGCCTTGAAGAGGTGATCAGATTCTAGGACCATGCCATAGTGAATGGATTAATAATGGTGGTCAGGGGTGTGGTTCTGAGGGCTTTTAAAGGAGAGTGAATGAGGAGGTTACTCTTGCTCTCTCTCTGCTCCACCATTTTTGCAATGTGATACTCTGCCATCACTGTCACCATTACCAAGGCTCTCACAAGATGTGTTCCCTGGACTTTGGGCTTCCCAGCCTCAGAAAGTGCAATTGATAAATTTGTTTTCTTTGTAAATTACCCAATTCCATGTATTTTGTTATAAGCAACAGAAACAGACTAATACACTACGTAAGATTGTATTTGGGTGTATTTCTTCTGATGATAAATATGATCCATAGCCTGATAACATATAAGAAAGTCTTATTCGTGAGGGTCTATTTCCTATTATCATCAAAGGCAAAGTCACCTGAAGTAAAAATGTTTCTTCAACTAATGGCATTGCTTTAACTTTTTGCCCCAAATTATCAACAAAGTATTGCACTAAGGAATTTAAAATCTCTCCTTCAATTTCAATGTCACTAAATTTTCTGAAATAACCAGCCACGGAGCAGCAACAACACCACATGGGCATGGAGCACTGTGTGAGGGGTGCCCAAGCACAGCCAGCACAGCCTCTGCCACCTCCCCTAGCAGGGCTGCCTGCTTGGGACACCTGTTCACCAAGGGTCATGGGATCTGCCAGAGAACCTGCCCTGTGCCTCACTGTTGCCATGGCTGTCTGGGCTCTGTGGAGCCTCAGGATAGCAGCTTCTGCTCTTCACCCACCAGGAGGCCAGCTCCAGTGGCAGATGATCTCAGGGTGCTGTGATGGGGGTGGAGCGAGACCTCTTTTTGTTTGTTTGCATAAAATATCTTTTTAATTTCAACCTATTTGTGTCTTTAAATGTAAAATGAGTCTCTGGTAAACAACATATAGGTAGATCACATGTTTATCCATTCTGCTAATCTCTGCCTTTTAGCTGGAGAGTAATCCATTTATATTTAATGTAATTACCAGTGAGGAAGGACGTACTTCTGCCATTTTGCTATTTGTTGTCTAAACTGTATATCTTATGTCTTTTTTCTCTTAATTTCTCCATTAATACCTTTTGCTCCTTCCCTCTGCTATGCTCTTATCATCACAAACCACATCTTTATACATTGTGTGCCCATCTACATAGACTCATAACTATGTTGTACGCAGTTGTCTTTTAAATAAGAGTAAAAAAGAGAAGTCACAAGCAAAACACTAATAATGTCATTTACATGTATCTATGCAGTTACTTTTACTTGTGTTCTTTATTACTTTATTTTTATTATTGTGGTTTTGAGTTTCTGACTAGCGTCCTTTTATTTTAACCTGAAAGACTCTCTTTAGCATTTTTTGTAGGGTAGTTCTACTAGTGACAAATTTTCTCAGTTTTTGTTCAGTGGGAATGTCTTTCTCCTTCATTTTTTAAAGATAGTTTTGTTGAATATAGAATTCTTGAGTGACAGTTTTTTTTAATTCTCAAATTTTAAAAGTCAGGATTTATTTTAAGATTGCCCAGAAGAAGACCCTGAGGCAAAAATTTGAGTGCAAGTAGTTTACTTGGGAGTTAATCCCAGGACATATCAGAAGGGAGTTGGGAAGTGATACAGGGAAGGGAAAAGAGCAGGTAAAAGGTACTTAATCAAGCAAGTTACCACAGTGGGCAATTGGAGCTTAACACTGCTGTGGAACCCTGGGGGAAACATTGTAGAATCCACATCTCAGGGCTGTCTCACCCAAGGGATAAGAGAATGGGTGCATTTGTATATCAACTCCAGTCAGTCATTGCTCCTCTCCTTGCTTTGGCATTGTCCATAACAGCATTCAGGAGAGGCCCTCAGGAGTCCTGGAGATTTTTAAATACTCCCCAAATGACCATTGTCAGCTCCCTAAAAAACAATCTCAAGGAATGGCATGAATATAATTACCCACCTCCCTCAATGGACTTCAGGGCTGATTCTATCAAGTTCTGCTTACATCTCTTATAACCTGTCACTTTATAGGAGTTCAGACCTTCCCAGTGGTTCCTCATAACTAGCTCTTATCCTCATAAGGCTAGATACATCCCTTAATCTTATTCTAGCTCCCGCCCCTTTCAGACACTACCCACGACCCTCCACTGTGTGTCCTGGAACTCATGGTTTGCTGACATTGTCCAAGAATGGCTGCAAATTCACGTTATGATATCGAACTCCTAAGTTTGTAGTCATTTGATAGTTAACTGCGCATCTTTGAAGGTTTCTGAGTAGAAGAGTGGAAATAATCGACTATCCGGGAAGATTTGGGAGTGCAAGATTGGAGGAGGACAGGAAAGAGAGAAAAGCAGTGTGTGTGTGTGTGTGTGTGTGTGTGTGTGTGTGTGTGTGTGTGTGTGTGTGTGTGTCTACACGTACCACGCATCGCCCCCTCGCTTCCCTTCAGTTGCTCTTGGTCTCTCCATAAGCCTCTCAAAGGAGGAAAACAGTTTGTTGGACCGAAATGTGGTGAATGAGCCGATGGAGAGACATTTGTATAGAAAAGTACCACTGGTTGGTGCCCTGCCCTGTCCCAACGCTGGTCTCAGAAGCAGTTGCCCGGCAGTCCCTGTCGCCATGATTTCTCGGCTGCCTTCACACTTCTGCTTGGGTGTAGATGAAAGAATTTTTTAAAATTCTGTTTGTTTTCACCCTTAGCTGTGATTGATGCGTGCAGGACAAGAGCTTTGAGATAAATTTTTGAGTCATGAGCCTAATTGCCTTGAGTTTAGAAAAGGGTTGGTGACAAGCGCTGAACTACAGGCTTCCAAGCTCACTTTTGCCCTACAAAGGTAGATAGGTTAAAAATAGGCCCCATTTAAACCCTTGTCCGTTAAATGGCGCCGGTTTTCAGCTGGTCCCCTGGAATAAGACACATGCGTTTAAAAGCTTCTGTCTGGTTATCCCAAATTGGGAGAATCAGTTAAAGAAAAGAGGAAAAAACTATGTAAATTGAAAGAGAGGGTTTGTGGTTGGTCCTGGAAGCTTCCTGGGTCGTGTTTAATTTTGCACGGCCAGCCCATTTTGTCGTCTGTCTGAAACGCATTTTCTAGACAGTTACATCTCTGTCTCTCTTGAATGGTGATTGGTTGCACATAAGGGGCAGGAGATGACATGTCACTTATGGAGATAGAAGATTAGGAAGGAAAGAACCAGAAGACCCTTTTACAGTGATGGTGAGAAACCTAGTGATAGTAGAAAAAGCTTGCACGCACAGTTCCTGCCCTGTGTCTACTGCCCAGAAACAGAGGGAGTTAAAGAGAGATCTCTAAATGGTTTATGCCAATGCTCTTCTGCTCAACATCTGTTCCCCTCATTTTGAGTCTGGCCCTTGGACAAAGCGATTGCTTGATTGGTCTGTTCTGTGGCTTTCTTGGCCACATCTCCCCTTCACCCACAGATTAATCTGGAGGACTTGTCACTAAATGGATATGGTAAGAAGAAGGGCGTCTACTTTCTAAGAACACTTTTTTTTTTTTTAAGAGGAATGGAAGTACCATAGCCTGGTAACCTGAGCTTTCTAACAAAAATATAGTGACTATAAGATTAAGTTCAGAGTTTGTCTCTTGACAGGTGGACTCCAATCTAACGTCCCAAAGGATGCTTCTCTCTCTCCCCTCCTCCACTGTTTGGAGCATCTCTTCAATGCCACACACATACAAGCTCCCATTTCTTCCAAAAACAGGACTTGGCCAGTTGGCAGTTTCATGAAGGGGTGTCAGATTCTGGTGCTCGGGGAGGTGGTACTGGTTGGCAGATGTAATGGTATTTTATGAGGAGCGCTACTGTAGGGCATTATTGTCTTACCTTATTAGTATACCAGGGCAAAAAAGAGACCCCCTAATTTATACCTCCTTGTGCTAGCTTCAGGGCCTCAGAAACCTTGTAGATGTTTGTCTGCTTAATTTCTTATAGAAGGAACTGACATACATACAAAGAACCTGTACATACATGCATTTAGACAGGCACTTATATGTGAATATGTGTATATACACGTGTAGGTGTATATACTTACACACACAGAAATACATGGAGCCCCTGACACATGATTTGTGTTCATAGTCAAACAAGTCCTTGGTAGCTAGATTGAAGATGTAACCAATGGGCTTTATTACCAGTCATCTATCCCTTTCTGCCTCTTCCTGACTCAGATTCTGAGAGTTGAAAAAAAAACTTAGAGCATATCCAATAAAATCTTCAGTGCAAATACAAGAATCACATCTGAAGGTCCTAGTCTAAACATCCTTCATGGTTTGGGCTTTGGAGGGTGAGGATGGTATGGGAGGCCTCCTGCCTCAGGAATTAGCCACAGTGTATGCAAAACTTCGTGGGGGATATAAATGTGAGAAGTTGGTAGCTCCTGCTTTCAAAAAGCTTGCCATCTAAGTAGGAAGAGCGAAGTAGCTTGAGTAACTTGAAGTAGAAGAGCTGAGTGTTATACAGCGGCTCAGCGAGTTCAGAGCAGACTTCCCTGTAAGTTATGAAGGGAGGCTTTCTGGATCTTCTGATTTGTGCAGACAGAATTGAGATGGTGGCTGCAAGAATCACTGTAGGTGGAAGAAACAGTTCTTAATTCCAAAAGTTCTTTATTTTTTAAGTTTCATTGAGATAAAATCCTTAATCTGTCATGGTCATAGTAGCAGGGTGGTTAAGGGATTGGGCTCAGTGTTAGACCTTGGTTTGACTCTTGATTCTGCCTTTTGCTATTAGTCCTTTGAACTTGGGCAAATTTTTTAACATTTTTAAGCCTTATTTTTTTCATCTGTTAAGTGGGGCCAGTGTTATTGACCTCATAAGGTTATAGTGAGGACTAAATGAAATAATACTTAGAAATGTATTAAACAGTGCCTGGCACATATGAAGAATAAATGTTAGCTGGTTTTATTATTATGTAGCTTCTATCCATTGGGTATAGTTCTGCTTCTCCATAGAAACTTTTCAAATATTTAAAGAGAATTATGCCTTCTGTTTATCTTCTCTTTTTAGTTTAAAGCTTTCCTTTTAGGTGACTATCCTCAAATAGTTGTGTGTTTTATATATATAGTGCAGTGATTCTTAACCAGGGACAGTTTTGCTCCCTATAGGACATTTAGCAGTGTTTGGAGTTGTTTTTTGGTTGTTACAGCTTCAAGGGGATGTGCTACTGGCATCTAGTGGGTAGAGCCTAAGGATGCTGCTAAATTTCCAGCAGTGCATAGACAGCCCCCCACAACAAAGAAGTATTCTGTTCAAAATGTCAGTAGTGTTGATATTGAAAACCCTTGGCCTACTGGACTTTAAATAATTAAGTCCCTCCCCCCCAATATCTCTACTGATTAGAAATAGCAACATGTGGTGCCAAGAAAACTGCACAAGGACTCAGAAGTGGATGTGACTACAGGCAAGTCAGTTAATCTCACATAAAACTGTTCCCTCCCAATGCAGAGGGGTTGTAAATGAGAACAATTTGAACCCCAAAGAAGGATGATCTGAAATGGTTTTACATAGCCACATGTGTAATTTATGCTTCATTCTGGAAGAACATGAATGATAATATTGTCTCATTGTACTCTTCAGTGAGGAGGAAGTAAATATTTTTTGTTGGTGGTGCTGTTTTACTGAAGGTAAAAAAGCCAAAACATAGTTAAGTGAAATAGCTGGTGAAGTTGAAGGTCCACTGACTGACAGCTGGAAAAAGAATATACCCAGCTCCAGCCTGGAGGGCGTGTGTGTGTGTGTGTGTGTGTGTCCCATCTGTCCGTCCATCCCCCCCCACCCCCCCGTTTAACTGCATGATAAACTTGGGTGTTTCTCATTAGTATTATAAAACAGTTGTTCAAAAGTACATCTATCTCTGGATTTCGCGAGGTCTGTGTCTTGCAGGATTCAGTTAATTTGACAATTTCTGTATAATGTGAGGTCTAAATGGAAAAAAATTTCATGAGAATGGTAATTGTTTAAAGTGAGAGTAGCAGAATATGACGTACTTGAGCAAGAGCACTGGTCGATATAGGAGTTAGGAGACAGGACTGCTACTACCTGGGTTCCTGAGCAAGTCACATAACTGAGCCTGACTGTCTTCCCCTGTAAAATTAGAGAGAGAGAGAGAGAGAGAGAGAGTTATTTGGTCCCATGGGAGTACTGCACATGGCTTAAGCAGATGAGATTCTGAAAAAGAAGAGCTAAGTGGAGTTTTTATCAAAAGAATCCTTTAAAATGTGCTGAGGAAACATGCTCTATAGAGGTTCTTTGAAGGCGTAATATCTTTTGGTAAACTGATGCATTGTTTGGGGGATAAATCTGGCTGTTCATAAATTGATCTTCTGAAAGGAGAATGTACCTATATTTTATTTCTGTATGGTTTGTGACTCAGAATTGTTGCGAGACAACTGGATTTAGGAAGTGCTAGATGACTATGCTAATGATAAGTGCTGATTAAATATTGTCTTGTTGATTAGGGACCTACGCTTTGGTGCCTCTATTGACTGATAAAGTATGCTTCTAAGTGATTTTTGGCTGCCCAAAACAAGAATTTTCTTTTAAGGACAAATGCCAAGAATGGCTTATTTTCAGATCTAGTATTGTTTGGAAGCTGTAAAATGCTATTCCAGATGGAACTATCTACTGTTTTTTTTCTAAATGAAACTTTTCATTTTATGATAATTGTAAATTCACGTGTAGTTGTAATAAATAATGCAGAGAGATTTTGTCTGCACTTTATCCAGTTCCCCCCAATGGTAATATCTGGGAAAACTGTAGTATAATATCACTACTAGGGTATTAACATTGATACAGAAGTGAAGGTACAGAACATTTTCATCACTACAAGCATTCCTCAATTGCCCTTTATAGCCAACACGACTTTCCTCCTTCCCCCACCTCTCTTTAGGACTTAGCAGCCACCAATCTGTTCTCTGTTCTCTGGAGATTTACCCAAGTTGTTTTTTAAATCAAGTTTGTTCCTTTTCATTGCTGGGTAGCACTCCATGGTATGAAACTACCAGTTTTTTAACCATTCACCTGTTGAAAAACACATGGGTTATTTCCAGTTTGGGGCTATTCTGAATAAGTCTTCTATAAAATTTTGTGTACAGAGTTTTATGTCTTCCCTTCTCTGGGATAAATGCCCAGGAGTGCAATAGTTGGGTTGCGTGGTAGTTGCATGTTTTATTTTTTAAAAAATTGCCAAACTGTTTTCCAGTGTG